AACCTCCGCTTCCCAGGTTCAAGTGATTCTCCTGCCTCAGCCTCCTGGGTAGCTGGGACTACAGGCACTGGCCACCAAGCCTGGCTAATTTTTTGTATTTTTAGTACAGCCAGGTTTCCACCATGTTGGCCAGGACGGTCTCAAACTCCTGACCTCATGATCCACCCACCTCAGCCTCCCAAAGTGCTGGGATTACAGGCATGAGCCACCATGCCCGGCCAAAAAAACAATATTTATGAGCAATATTTAATAATACAGACCATGCTTATTATACAGCCCTGATGGAAATAAATTCTAAGAACACAAACCATAAAGGCTAAATGATCTCAACTACAGAGAAGAGAAGTGAAGTATCATTGGAAAGAAAGCGCCAAAACGCTATGCTGCATTTGCATTGGGACGGCATCAGTTCAGGAAGTTAAAAAAAAATTCTTTGTATTATTTTATAATAATTTTCCCAGTTTTTCAAGTTTCCTACCTTGAGGAAAAACACATTATAAAGAAAAACAGTTGGCCAGGCGCGGTGGCTCACGCCTGTAATCCCAGCACTTTGGGGAGACCTAGGCAGGCAGATCACAAGGTCAGGAGTTCGAGACCAGCCTGACCAACATCGTGAAACTCCGTACCTACTAAAATACAAAAACTGTCTGGGCATTGTGGTGCTTGCCTGTAATCCCAGCTACTCAGGAGGCTGTGGCAGAATCGCTTGAACCTGGGATGCAAAGGTTACAGTGAGCTGAGATCGCACCTCTGCACTCCAGACTGGGTGACAGAGTGAGACTCTGTCTTAAAAACGAAAAAAGAAAAATACTTACCTGAAACATGGCAATATGCAGCTGAACCCGCTGCAGGCTTGTCTTACAAGAAGAAATACTGGTTTCCAGCCTTCGCACCAAGTCATGCTTCTTCCAGGCAGTGTCGTAAGAACTTGCTAACACAGTCGCCCTATTCATAACCAACTGAGAGAACTTTCCAACCTGGATGTTATGTTCCACCGCTTTCTTACAAAGATCATCGACAGAAACTTTGCTTTCGGCACCAAAGTCCTTTGCCTCTACTTGAGCAATGATGTCTACACCCAGAGCACTGATAAAACTGCACAGTGTAAGTCCGAGGGCTTGGTTGGGTAGTCCTATCAAGAGCTGCCTCACAAAGTCAGCTGTGAATGCCTTGATAGGTTTGGCCATTTGGTCTTCACTGAAACAAGAGTTTCTAAAAAGGGTTTTCACATTGACAATCTGTACAGGCCCATTCACAGTATTCTGATCTTCAAGTGAACTTGATCCTACAAAAAGCAAAATTTTCTTATAAAGAATTTCATGAAAAAATAAGGTAATAATGCTGCTAATTTATAGTATTTAAGATGTCATGAATGTATAATTAAATTAAGCCTGCTCTACCCTGCCACCTTCCATAGTGCCTCATAACTATAGCTAGCATGTTTAAAGGTATTATATTACCTGACAATGTTTTAGAAAAGGTACCACAGAGCCTGAAGAACTCCTTAATCGTCTGTAGTCTTTTTAGAAAGAAAATCTCTTCTAGCACCTGCCGGTGATTATCATCATCAAAAAAATTAACTTGAGTACTCCTGGCTTCCCTTATGATGTCAATCTTTCGCCAAGCTATAGGAATTTCCATCTTGTTCAACTATGTAAATGAAAGAAAACAAAGTTAATTTCTCCACCCTTCATATATGGAACCACTATTTTATAGCACTTGCATTATTTTTAAGTCCACATTTACCTTTTCAACTAATAAGCCGAAAGCAGTTTCAACTTGAGCAAACATGCCATCAAATGCTACCAAAAGCATCTGGCCAGCTGACATTTTGGGTGTTTCATCAACTGAACCATTTCTTGGTTGAATTAATTCACCATACTGAGCATGTAGTAGTCTACAGGAAAACAAAGGGAGTTAAAAACCTTTGCTAAAAAGTAAAGCCTTTGGTGGGAACATAAAAATTCAGTACATCTCACAGCTACATGGGAAGTCTAGAAAGCTTTCTGGCATTAAGAAGGAGTTATGGTATTTCATGTCCACCACAACAGGGTTTCAATGATTCCAATTCATTATTAACAATGGTTATATGATTAAATTTTATGCAAAGTTGAATGATTAGTCTCACTTTACACATAAAATGTGAAATAATTTAAAATCCCATATTGAAAAATGTCATAAATCACACAATTCTAAAGCTGGGGAACCTAGTAAATTGTCAGGTATGTTTGCACTATTACCACAAGATATGATACAACCAACAATACTTGGGGTTTGTTTGGTTTTTATTTATGCACATTTTGAATGTAAGGTCTTCAGAAATTCACCCCCGACATTATCATTAAGACTTACATAGCACTCAAGTATCAGGCACTACTTCTTATCTGACATACATAGGGAAATTATTCCAAATGGCTGGAACTATTAAGAATTTTTAAGAGAATTAAAACTGTTAAGCTATCAGATAAATTTCTAATGGAAAAGAGCTGTAAGATAGTATGAGATTTTACTTGAGATTACTGAAAAAAAGCTTCTCTGAAACAAGGCACAAATAGGCTGCCATAGATCCAGGCACAAAGCTTGTTTCCCAAAGCACACATTTAGGTGAACATTCTTCTGCATGAGGATAAGGGGAACCCAGATAGGATATTAAGAGAGACAAAATGAAGTCTAAAATTCAGGGCCAAAGAAAGATGTATAAATCTAGCATTTAACTTCTTAAATACTGCTAAAAATTAAATGACAAAGCTGTTCTAGAAATAATCTAAATCACTACTTAGCTGATATGTGTTTATGCTATTAATAATTATACTTTTTCTAGCTGGGTTTTGCGGCGCACGCCCACAGTCCCAGCTACTCGGGAGGCTGAGGAAGCAGAATCGCTTGAACCTGGGAGGCAGAGGTTGCAGTGAGCCGAGATCATGTCACTGTACTCCAGCCTGAGCAACAGAGCCAGATTCCGTCTCAAAAAGAAAAAAAAAGAAAAAAGTATGGTTTGGCCGTTACCAAAAGAAGAGGTGAGACTGNAAGCCAGGCGCAGTGGCTCACACCTGTAATCCCAGCTACTTAGGAGGCTGAGGCAGGAGAATGGCTTGAACCTGGGAGGTGGAGGTTGCAGTGAACTGAGATGGCACCACTGCACTCTAGCCTGGGCAAAAGAGTGAGACTCTGTTTAAAAGAAAAAAAAATTACATACTTTCTCTTATTCTATGAATATAGCAACTGCAAAGAAACATGAGAAATAGGAAATTTCTGAATGCAGGATAATTCACATTAAGAAATTATTGCTACTTTTTTCATGAAATAATGGCACCACATTCAAGAAAAATAAATTTATATTTTATATATCTACTTTCTGCATTATTAATATTTAAGAATGAAAAAACATTTACTTCAAAATAACTAGGGTAGTAAATTTAAACCAGACTGACCCAGGGCTGATAATTACCAAAGGTGGTGGCATGGGTTCATGAGACTATTTTCTCTACTTTCTTATATCTTTGAAATTTCCCATGGGAGGAAACGGTGCTACAATTCATTTCTACTCTCTCAATTATACTTTCTTCTGTGAATTAGACAACATAATGCCAAAGAAAAGAGGCCCTGAGTCACTAGGGACAAAGGAGCTTAGGGCTTAGCTCTGAGTACAATGCATGTTTGGAGGAACTGCCCAAACTCTACAGATCCAAAGTCAGATTGCTTTTCTGGACTAAAGAGACAAAAAATACAATATTCAATCTAAAACAAACTTATAATATTTAAACTAATTTAAAAGTATTCACCTGAAGTGAGGTGCATACTCTGTTAGCTAAATACACTGTTTCCAGTGCCTCCACAGGGTTCTAGAAGATGGCTTTAAAAACATCATGTTCAATTGTGTGTATATGTACAAGTACATAATCACAGCACTAAAAGGATATTACGTATATGACAGAACTATACACTTGCACACACACACACACACACACACACACACACACAAGTGCATGTATAACTAGTGAAATCTGAGTAAGCTATATGGACTGTTGGTTTCACAATGTTGCTACTGTACTATGGGTATGCAAGATACTAACATTGAAGGAGGGATGAAGCGTGCACAATACCTGCCTGCACTTTCTTTTTAAACAACTTCTTGTGATATGTAAATTTTTCAAAATAAAAAAATTTTTAGGCTGGGCGTGGTGGATCATGTCTGTAATCCCAGCACTTTGGCAGGCAGAGGCAGGAGGGTCACAAGGTCAGGAATTTGAGACCAGCCTGACCAACAAGGTGAAACCCCGTCTCTATTAAAAATACACAAAAAAAATTAGATGGGTGTGGTGCATATGCCTATAATCCCAGCTACTCAGGAAGCTGAGGCATGAGAATTGCTTGAACCTGCGAGGCCGAGGTTGCAGGAAGCTGAGGACGTGCCACCGCACTCTAGCCTGGGTGATAGAGTGAGACTGTCTCAAAAAGGAAAAAAAAAATTAAAAGATACATATATGAGCATTTATATGTAATCATCCTGCTCTAAAAACTAAAAGTAAACTTACGGTAAAGTAAGAGCTCAGAATCCCTTTCTCTCGCTGTCCCATCTCTTTTACGAGGAAATGGTACAGCCAGCATTCACTTGCCTGGCAACATCGATGTAATGAGCATGTGTTTCTTCTTCCAGTCCCATAGCTGCATTTCTTAAGTAGGCCTGAAGAGATTCCACTAGAGTCTGCAGGGGAACGCCATCAGTGGTCTGCTCGATAAGACCATCCAGTTCATGCAGCATACTTTCTAATGTGTATTCCCCTTTCATTAAACATCGAAGTGCTTCTGGAAATATGATTTGCCGGAAATTTGAGTTTAATTCCTATAAATATGAGAAAAAAATTTTTAATGTTTTTTTGAGTTTAGCTAAGTTACACATTTGGAGACTTAAGAGCAAACTTATGTAATTATGCCATCAACTCATTCATGTAAGTACATCATTTTTTTTTAGAAAAAATAAAGATGGGTTTCACCATGATGGCCAGGCTGGTCTTGAACTCCTGACCTCAGGTGATCCACCCACCTCGGCCTCCCAAAGTGCTAGGATTACAGGCGTGAGCCACAGCGCCCAGCCAAGTACATCATTTTTTAACTTTTTATTTCTACTTTTAAAAATTTTCTTTTTAGGCCGGGCGCGGTGGCTCATGCCTGTAATCCCAGCACTTTGGGAGGCCGAGGCGGGTGAATCACGAGGTCAAGAGGTCGAGACCATCCTGGTCAACATAGTGAAACCCCGTCTCTACTAAAAATACAAAAAATCAGCTGGGCATGGTGGCGTGTGCCTGTAATCCCAGCTACTCAGGAGGCTGAGGCAGGAGAACTGCCTGAACCCAGGAGGCGGAGGTTGCGGTGAGCCGAGATTGCACCATTGCACTCCAGCCTGGGCAACAAGAGCGAAACTCCGTCTCAAAAAAAGAAAAAAAAAAAAATTTTCTTTTTAAATTCTGTTTTATAGTCATGTGAAAATTTTCAGGAACTATCTCAAATGACTTTAAAAAGTTGTCATATAATTAAACATTCCTAGAATGACATACCCTAAGAATAAAAGGAACTGCCCAAAAGTACATTATATAATATTACTAATTTTTAGAAATCATATTTTTGATAGGGACATTAGTATTATTATTCTCTTTTTGGTGTGGTTATAAGTGGCTTCTATTTAAAAAAAAAAAAAAGCTCTATCAAGGTATAATTTGCACATAATAAACTGCATTTTTAAAACGTATTTGGCATTCTTTGGTACTTGCAGCATGATCTTGAAACTCAGCAAAATCAAGAAAGTCAGCATGTCCATTACCCTACAAATTTCTTCCTGATTCTTTTTACTGTCTTTTACTCATGCTTCTCCATACCACCTCCCTCATCTCCAAGTAAACACTTAATCTGCTTTTTCTCACATTATACATTCTCCATTTACAAGGGTAGGGATATTTAGCTTTCTTTGCTCAGCATAATTATTGTGAGAGTCATACATGTGGCTGTATGTTTCAAGGGGTCATTCACTTTTACTGCTGAGTATTCCATTATGTGGATGTACCATATTTTATTTGTCCATTCACTTGGTAACAAACATTTGACTTGACTGCCACTTTTTACTATTACAAATGAAGCTGCTACAAAAATTCAAAAAAACAAACTGCAACTGTAACCAAATTATGGCTATAAACCTCACAATGATATTTCTTTTAAATGACTGCTTCAGCAACATTCAAAGGGGGAAGTCAAATTGCTTCCCTGGATTAAAGAGATGAGAAAGACAATATTCAATATATAAAACAAACTTATAATATTAAGATAAATTATAAGTGTTCACCTGAAGTGAGGTGTACACTCCATTGGCTAAGTGAACTGTCTCAGACGCTTCCATGGGGTTTGGGATGTCTAAGTCCTGTGGCACCAGGTGGCACTGTTTCAGTAACTGAACCAAGCAGGTGACGTTTCCACTCATACTGCAGAGTTCCTCCAAGAACCAGGCTCCATCCCGAGAAGTCAGATCAACCAGCTGTTCTCCAGCACTTGACGCTGCACCTTCCATCATTAGGTTACGCCTAAAAGAGATAAATATCTGTATGGTGAGCTTAGTTAAATGTATACACGAAACAAGATAACTGACCCATTTGAGGGCTCATGCCTATAATCCCAGCACTTTGGGAGGCCAAGGCGAGTGGATGACTTCAGGCCAGGAGTTCGAGACCAGCCTGGCCAACATGGCAAAACCCCATCTCTACCAAAAAATACAAAAAATTAGCCAGGTGTGCTGGCACACACCTGTAGTCCCAGCTACTAGGGAGGCTGAAGATGCAATGAGCTGAGATCGTGCCACTGCACTCCAGCCTGGATGACAGAGTGAGACCCTGTCTCAAAAAATAAAAAATAAAGCCCAAAGACAATTAAAATTTGAAAGAAAGCAAGCAGCTGTAACACTGAGCAAGACAAAGGAAAGTAAAAAATGTTTTACGTTTGGGATTTTAAGGCACAGGAAATGGTCCAATATGAAGTTGCTAACTCACCTTGTAAGGGTACAAAGGGCAGAAATAATGACACTTGCTAGACTCAAAGATCCTTCTTCTCCATTCTCATGAAGGAAAACTTTAATGCAACGTTCAATTTCTTTCAACTGGTCTTCACAAACTGGAACAGTGACGGCTTCTTGTTTCAGGCGTTCCACTTGTCTAATAAGCCTGCTGTTGATGTCTGCTGCATACCGCTGCAGGGTCATTTCAGTGGCAGTGATGAACTGACACACTGTTGGGGGTGGCTGGGGAGCATACTGCATTTCATATCTATAAAAATAAAAAAGAGGTGCGTGTTTATGACACAACCACCCCCAACATACACAAGAATACTGCATTTAATCCTCATACACACCTTGAAGAGTAGAAATCACCATTTGCATTTTATGGATAAAAATGTCTCAAGAGCTTAAGTAATTTCCTAAGAAGACTTGTTGGTGAGTGTGACAGAGTCAACATTTGAGGCCAAGCACTGTGGTTCATACTTGAAATCCTAGTACTTTGGGAGGCCAAGGCAGAGGATCACTTGAGCTCAGGAGTTCGAGACCAGCCTGGGCAACATGGCAAAACGCCATCTCTACAAAAATATAAAACTTGTTGGGGCGCGGTGGTCCCAGCTACTTGGGAAGCTGAAGTGGGAGGATCGCCTGAGCACAGGGAGGCTGAGGCTACAGAATACAACTTTGCTTCCACTCCCAATAAGAAATAAAGAAAATTAAGCACGATCAACTTACTTCCTATAGAGTTCTTGACAACGCTCTACTGTGGTGTTACATATGAGCTCTTCCATCCAGGTTTTCCACTGTTCAATTCGATGTTTCTGAAATATGGCCTTTGGATACTGCAGAGCCACGGTTGCATAGTGATGCAGTTGTTCCAGACAGCCACGGAGCACTGACCGCCTCTGCTGCAGGAGAGCACCAACCTCCCCCTCCAGTTGCTCGCACTGGCTAATCAAGTGGGCCTGGCCAGCATTCTGCAGAAAGGCTGTTGCTGGCACATAACTTGGAGGACCTTTTGGTAAAAGACAATATTAATCACAGTAAAACAGTGTTAAGTCAGCTATTATTGAAAGCCAGCACAAACCAGAACCCTACACAAAAACACAAGACTATAGAATTCACAGTTTCACATGTGAACCTAAAATAAGTCAACCCATACCAAGGTCCATTTGTGTGCTTATCTCTTGAAGCAAGCTTGCAAGCTGTGTTGCTTCTAAATTATTGAATGCAGCCTGATAATGTGTTATCCATTGTTCAAATTCATTCAGCTTCACCTGGATTGCTTCCTGAACAGCTCTTTGCTGAGTCTGCAGTTGGGTGTGTTCAGAATACCTAATCAAGGGGACACAAACAAAACCAAAACATTACTTGCTGTTTTTCTTACACATACTCTCCTAACCTCAAATGTGCTCACACAGACTGTCTGGTAAGCTCCTTTCCATGTTGAGGGCTCTGCTCAAATGGCCCTTACTTCTCTGTTTTTTTCCTGACCCTGTGAGTCCCTCAACTATGCTCACATTATTTTAATTAGAACTACCAAGTTTTGGGATCCTTGAAGGTTAGAGACTGATGCTTGACAGATCTTTGTAATCTGAAAGCCTCATGCAATGCTTGACACTTTCATATTCAACTACCCTTTACTGAGAACCTGCTGTGTATAAGGTTCTTTCAGTTCATCATCCTATTTGATACTTAACTCAGTGAGGTAGATGAAGTAGCTGCCATTGTACAAACGAATAAGGACTCAGATACAGTAACTGTAATGAGAAAACTCAGATTTTCTGATCCCAAGTTTTGAGTTCTAACCACAACACCCACCTGTCTCCCATAATTAGTCATCCAAACATTTAAGTTAAAGATAATAAAAGCAGAACATTTCAGTGAATTTTTGTTTACTAACTTTGAAGTTGTAGTCACTAAGACATCTTTTATCATTTATGTGAGTTGTTACAATTCTAATCCATATTGATTTTGACACAAATATCAAAATTCTGCTTACTGGCACGTATTTCAAAGTAAGAATTCAACACTATTTTAAACCTGTGTTGCAGAGTATGAGAAGGATGATCCACCCCTTCAGCTCCTTCTAGAAACTCTATTTCCTCCAGTAGTTTGCCCTGCAGTTTTTCCACATCTGTCAGTTGCTCTTGCAAGCTTAAATATTCATCTAAGCTACTGTCCAGCTTGGGAAGCACAACCAGCATCTCATCTCTATTCTTAAACCAGTTCACCTGTAAAAAGATACTACGATTAGAAAGCCTCTTACAGGGCCAATTGTGAGACAAGACAGTGTCAGAAAAACATTTCGAGCATCCTACTTAGATCTCTACAAAACCCCAAAGGGGTGATGCATCACCTCCACTGTACAAAGAAAACTAATACGTTCAAGTTTACATAGGCAGAAACTGATAGGCTCAATCCTGTAATACCATGTATTAATTTAATAGTTGCCACCGTCACCCAGAACAAGATTGGCATCCCTGGCTACCAGATGGGGAAACAAAGCTATCCAATTAAAGAACACTTACAGTCATGACTGCTAAACACATGTCAATAATTAAGAAATATATTTTTCCAAATCATGAACACTCCTAGGAGTGTGGAATGTAACTGTGTGTGTGTTCCGGTGGGAGAACTGCCTAATAAAAAGATGACATCAAATTTCCATATTTAACTGCCATTTCAATATTATACATTAGTCTTGCCCAGAAAAATTAGAGAAACAATTTGACTCAACATTTCGAGAGCATGTTTATTAACAAGAAGAAGACAATGACTTATTCCATCCCTGACTTCACCTTAATCTCAGCTACTCTAGAAGAAAACAGGCTTCGGGTGATCTCTCGCTCCATCTCTCTCTTGCTCTGCTTGCTCTCGGCCTGCTGGCCACCTCCACCATAAACGGCACCAGCAAACCCAGCCTCGCCTCCTGCAGTCCAGTCCACCAGGGGGTCGTACACAAAGGCCTCTAGCAATGTCAGCAGGGTCTCTCTGCCACGCCGCATAATGTGTAAAACCTGTTTTCAGGAGAGTTTTAAAAGTAAGGTCTGCCATAAATTTCATCACTGAAGTGTTTTTCACTCCACAAGTTTTGTTCATTTAACAAGTACACTAAAAGGTAGAAGAGAAAACAGCATACCTGCTCACATGAAAGCCTAAATACACCTTCTACTCCAGTTACACCCAGTGCTGTTTCAATGTTTTGTGTCATTCGAAAAGGTACTTTCTCAGGAACTCTAAGGCTTTTACCTTGAAAAGACAAATCATTGTATTTTTGCCCTTTCACCAAAAAACATTTGACCCTCACAAATGTAAAGTACACTTTTATTTTACCTTTTTCAAAGCAAACATTGTAATCTATGTGAACAACTTCTCCGGTTGTCATGTCTATGAGAACGTTATCCAGATGTCTGTCTCCAAGGCCAATTATGTATCCAACCATAGACATGACTGCAGTAGATCTTGCATAAGACTACAGGAAAGGAAATGGGGGCAGTAAGTGAAACACCATTAGGAAATTCCCCTCGAACATAGACGAACATAAAATTTACAAAGCACCAAAAACCTACTCCCTTATTTTAAAATAAATCAATAAATAAAAAGCATTCCTCAAGGTTGCTCCATGTAGTCATGCAGTAATACAACACCATACACCTGACTGGTCCTAGTTAATTCGTTATCAGGATGATGGATTTAAAAAAAAAAAAAAAGAGGAAGACTTTTCTTCATCCTTCCTGTTTGCCACTTTCTAAATTTTTTATTCTCCTTTTCTTTTTGAGATGGAGTTTTGCTCGTCACCCAGGCTGCAGTGCAATGATGTGATCTCAGCTCACTGCAACCTCCGCCTTCCAGATTTAAGCGATTCTCCTGCCTCAGCCTCCCGAGCAGCTGGGATGACAGGGGCCTGCCACCACACCTGGTTAATTTTTTTTTTTTTTCCCCAGTAGAGACAGGGTTTCACCATGTTGGGCAGGCTGGCCTCGAACTCCTGAACCTCAGGTGATCCACCCACCTTGGCCTCCCAAAGTGCTGGGATTACAGGCACAAGCCAGCACACTTCGTCTCCTTCTTTTTTAAAATTTAAATATGGATTTTATTTAAAAATATTTTTTCCCTTCCAACTTTTAGGCTTAGAGGGACATGTATATGTCACTGGTGTTTGATGCACACATTATTCTGTCACCCAGGCAGTGAACAGGTATTTTTTCCATCCTCTCCCTCCTCCTGCCCTCCAGCCTCAAATAGGCCTCAGTGTCTGTTGTTCCCTTCTTTGTGTCCATGTGTGCTCAATGTTTAGCTTCCACTTATAAGTGAGGACATGCAGTATTGTTTTCTGCTCCTGTGTTAATTTGCTTAGGATCTCCTTTTTTTTTTTTCCTTTTTTTTTTTTGAGACAGAGTTTCACTCGTTACCCAGGCTGAAGTGCGATGGCGCCATCTCGGCTCACCGCAACCTCCACCTCCTGGGTTCAAGCAATTCTCCTGCCTCAGCCTCCCGAGTAGCTGGGACTACAGGCTCATGGCACCATGCCCAGCTAATTATTGTATTTTTAGTAGAGACGGGGTTTCACCATGTTGACCAGGATGGTCTCGATCTCTTGACCTCGTGATCCACCCGCCTCGGCCCTCCAAAGTGCTGGGATTACAGGCGTGAGCCACCGCGCCCAGCAGGATCTCCTTTTCATTTCATTCAAAACTCTTTCTCCATCCTGCCCTCAGATACAGTCATGTTCATGCCTTTAGAACTGTAATATTAGCCTCAAATATAGGTCTCAAACTACCAAGTCTGGAGGGACAGAGGAAGGAATGGAAAGACGACAAACTAGACAGATAAGAAGGGTAGCAGGCCAAATAAATACTACTACTGAGTATAGTCTAAAACAAAGCACATACCTGCGTAACTCTCCACCACTCATCGGGTGTTGTGCAAGATGACCAGAGCTCTTTGGCAAGGAGATTTGGGGGTGTGGCCTCCATTAACTCTTCTAATACTGCCTTCATTACATGAAGAGGCCAATCCCGACGGGACACATCCAGGCTAAGCCCAACTGTTTTCAAAGCAGGGCCAATTTTACTATAATAAAGTTCACTGGGACGGGGTACAATTCCAGGATTCTGGGGAGTCTGGTAGGAATCTTGGGCCTTAAGAAAAAGAATTTTGTTTTAGAGAAAATATCAATTTTATATAAGGAAAAAGAGTACCTTTTTTATGTAAAGTAGAATTTTTAAAAATGATTTTTCAGTAGCATTCACTGGTTACCCAGCTGAATATCACATATTAATACAAAATAGCTAATTCTTCCAGTCTATGGTTCTTATAATGTATAACTTTCTTTTAATTAGGCCCATTCACTTTATTGAAAAACTGGTCTACTGTTCAATTTTCTTGAAGTTTAATTCAAAACTAAACACTCAAGTTGCTTTCTTCTTTATAATACAGAATTCAGTTTTAAAATTATAGTTCATAATTTATGCACATACTTCACTCTTCACACATAACTTAATCATTAATATAAAATTAACAGAAATTCAAAAACACATTACATGAGAATTTAGATAGCCCTTCTCTAATTACTATTTTGAAATTATCCTTCAATAACAGTTCCGTAGTCTCCTGGGCCTAGGTTTAAAACTTGACTCCTTTCAAACTCTTACTTTTTCCCCCTACTTACCCTAATCAGAAGCATTTTCTTTAGCTAGATGTGAGATTCTAAAGCTAAGACTGTATAAAATTTATCTTAATATCCTAAGAGCTTAGTGCTGTTCCTGGCTTATATTAAGCACTCAGACACATGGCTAAACATATCCTAAATTAAACTCTTAGTCTAAATAAAAGCATAAAATTCACAGGTACAAAATAGGATGCCATGGTGATAAACTCCAAATTTAAAGTTGCTTCTTATTTACATATATAAAAGAACGTGGGTTTTAAAGCTATTATTTACAAATTTAATTTAAAAGAATGGTAAACCCAATAAAAACATTAAGATGTAAAGTACCAGGAGTTACTCAGTGATGAACAACCACACATTGCCCCTTTCCAATTTGTCTTGATAAACCCAATGCCATCATTTTTGCCTCTTAAAACTATTTATGGCTGGGCGTGTTGGCTCATGCCCCTAATCCCAGCACTTTAGGAGGCTGAGGTAGGACGAATGCTTGAGCACAGGAGTTCAAGGTTGCAACAAGCTATGATGCATTCTAGCCTGGACAACAGAGCAAGACCCTCTCCCTTTAAAAAACAAAAAAAGCAAAAAACTTTATTTTTATAAAAGGTATCCTAAAGGCCAGGTCCGGTAGCTCATGCCTATAATCCCAGCATTCTGGGAGGCCAAGAAGAGTGGATCACTTAAGGCCAGGAGTTCAAAACCAACCTGGGCAATGTGGCAAAATCCCATCTCTACCAAAAATACAAATATTAGCCAGGTGTGGTTGTCCACCCCCCCGAGTCCCAGTTACTCAGGAGAATCGCTTAAACCTGGGAAGCAGAGTTTGCAGTGACCTAAGATCACACCACTGCACTCCAGCTAGGGCAAAAGAGCAAGACTGGGTCTCCCAAAAAAAAAAAAAAAAAAAAAGTACCGAAAAAACACTGCTCTAAGGACCTCAAGTCTTTTCCTTCTTTAATGCTTATAAACATGCAAAAATGGTCTAGTAAGCTTAGAAGCATTTCACATAGTAACAAGAGTATAGACTAATATACTGTGATGATAATTTAATCAACCTTTTGTGCTTGTAAAGCAGCTTCCCGTTGTTGCCATCGTTTGTAAAGACCAAATAAGGGTGTGGCTCCATCCACCCACTGGATTAGTCCTGATCTTGTTCCTAATGGTGTTACAGAATAATGTCGAGCATGGAACCGGGGTGTTTCTTGGCGATTAATTGTAGCAAACATGGTATTCACAATAGATAGGAACTGCATTATTCTCTCATCCAGATGTAAATCCTCCAGTCCTATGAAAAACAAAATTAAAATAGCTAAGGTAGGTGATTAAATGAGATTGGGACAATACCACTCCTCTGTGGTACTGCAACTAGCAACAAGAGTCAAAAACTGACAGTCCGTGAGGCACGCTGAGAGCATTAAAGAATTCTATTCTGTGACAAGATATTGGCAGTCTATATTAGCATTATTAGCTGTACCTCACTTGTCCTGCTTGTACGAGTTTATACACAAAGTGGGGGCTGAAAATCTTTCTGCACAGCATCCAACCACTGCCCTTCAAAAGCACGTAAGATACAGGGCACTGCAGGCTAATAATGACATACAGAAATTCACCTGAAATAATCTCCTACCATATACACCCACACTCACACAAAGCATTACTAAGACTAACACTCTTCTGAAAAATGGAGGAAGTCTTAAATCCTACCTTTGAAAAGATAAGGATAGCTCTTCCCATCTGATCCAAGAAAGAGAAGTTTCTTTGGCTTGGTTTTAGTCGGTAAGATTGTGATGGTTCCACCCACACTATGGATTGTGACAGTATCTCTGGCTGAGACTTCCCCAGGAAGAGCAATTTCAGTGTTAGTCATGGCAGCCAACCACGGACTGATTTCTTCAAGACGCAAGATGTAACTTGCACGTTTCTGTGCTCTCTGTTGCAAACTTAGCATTATCTGTATACATAAGATGGGAGAAACAAATCTACATCATAATTAAAACACTTATTTTCTTCCACATTCAATCTGGCATAAAAGTAAATTGTAGGTCAGGGGCGGCAGCTCACGCCTGTAATCTCAGAACTTTGGGAGGCCAGAGCAGGCAGATCACCTGAGTTCAGGAGTCTGAGACGAGCCTGGGCAACACGGCAAAACTCCACCTCTACAAAGAATACAAAATTAGCCGGGCGCGGTGGCTCACGCCTGTAATCCCAGCACTTTGGGAGGCCGAGGCGGGTGGATCACGAGGTCAGGAGATCAAGACCATCCTGGTCAACATGGTGAAACCCCGTCTCTACTAAGAATACAAAAAATTAGCTGGGCATGGTGGCGCGTGCCTGTAGTCCCGGCTACTCAGGAGGCTGAGGCAGGAGAATTGCCTGAACCCAGGAGGCGGAGGTTGCGGTGAGCCGAGATTGCGCCATTGCACTCCAGCCTGGGCAACAAGAGCGAAACTCCGTCTCAAAAAAAAAAAAAAAAAAAAAAAGAATACAAAATTAGTCAGCAAAGTGGCTAGTGCCTGTAGTCCCAGCTACTTGGGAAGCTGGGGCAGGACAGGAGGATCACATGAGCCCGGGAGGTAGAGGTTGCAGTAAGCCAAGGTTACACCACTGCACTCCAACCTGTGTGACAGAGGGAGACCCCTGTCTCAAAAACAACAACAAAAGTAAATTTTAAAATCCATACAACTATCTGTTGTTCTTATTTTTAAATTTAACTCAGTACTGAGATCTGGGCCATCCTGGATGGGTAACACTGGTGGCTGATGTGCACTACAGGATTCCCACTTTGTTAAGACTCTTCTCCTCTGTCCAAACAAGCAATGAAATTACAAGAGATATAAGGAAAACACTGCTATGATCACCCAATTTGGGGCTTTTAGCAAGTATTAATAATTCCCCAATATTGAGCTATGTATGAACAATGCCAAAACAAATGGATCCATTCTTTGCAATAGGTACAGCTAGCAGTTGGCTGGCTGTCAGGTAGACAAGCCCTTAAAAAGCCACCTACGAAGTTATTAACATTAAATTATAAGAAAAATGAGGCTCCGTATACTCTTCTCAAACTGGAGGAGAGTTAATTTGGTGGATTTCTAAGACACTTAACAAAACTGAAGAAAAGACAAAGACAAATAAGAACTTTTTTTTTTTCCTGGAGATGGAGTCTTGCTCTGTCACCCAGGCTGGAGTGCAGTGGCACAATCTCGGCTCACTGCAACCTCCGCCTCCTGGGTTCAAGTGATTCTCCTGCCTCAGCCTCCTGAGTAGCTGGGACTACAGGCACGCACCACCATGCCCAGCTGATTTTTTGTATTTTTAGTAGAGACGGGGTTTCACCGTGTTGACCAGGATGGTCTCGATCTCTTGACCTTGTGATCCACCCGCCTCGGCCTCCCAAAGTGCTGGGATTACAGGCTTGAGCCACCGCGCCCGGCCCTATATCCTCTTTTCTAACTCATTTACTGAGAGGGAAATAAAGAAACAAGAAACCGCTCTTAGAACACAAGGAAACTCAGGCCAGGTGTGGTGGCTCAAGCCACTTTGGGAGTGATCCCAGCACTTTGGGAGGCGGAGGTGGGCAGATCACTTGAGGCCAAGAGTTGGAGACTAGACTGGCCAACATGGCGAAGCCCTACCTCTACTAAAAATACAAAAATTAGCCAGGCGTGGTGGCGCATGCCTGCAATCTCAGCTACACGGGAGGCTGAGGCAGAAGAATCCCTTGAGCCTGGGAGGCAGAGATTGCATTAAGCCAAGATCCTGCTACTGCACTCCTGCTTAGGTGATAGAGCAAGATTCGGTCTGAAATGCCAGATACAGGTGATGGGGAGGAAGGCAGCACATCACACTGCCATGTGTATACCTAAGCAACAATCTTGCATGTTCTTCACATGTACCCCAAAACCTAAAATGCAACTAAAACAAAACAAAACAAACCCTTCCTCCCCTCCCATACACACATACACACACACACACACACACACACACACACACACACACAATGAAACTCAAATTTTGGCAAGTCCACGTAATAAACTTCATCCTTCATGTTAGTTTTCTTTCTTGTACTTCTAGCTATTTGCTCTGAATTTAGCACTCTGCATTTACTAAAGTTGGCTGCACTTTTTGTTTCTACATGTATCTTTTAATAGCTTTCTCATTGCTCAAGTTCAGTGAGAAATCAGCTAGGATAAAGGTAAGAGACAGAGAAAGGAGGGAGGGAGAAGGAAAAGCTGGAGCTACAAAGTGAAAAGCTAGAGCTACAAAGTAATAAGTTCCCCCAACTAATGGTGCTATTTGCTAGAAAAGATAAAGACCAAAGAAGAAAAACCAAAATATAAAAGGTAAGACTTCTCAAATATGTGAATACACTAATCATCCTGCACAGCATACGCGGAATTGATTCCAGAACGACTACTTGTAAAAATTTATGTTGTTACAGGTGATATTTTATCTGTTAGAAATGTTGAATGCTCTCCTCGTGAAAAACTACATAGGCACAAGATTAAACTTCCTATCTTTTATGAGGTGAATAAAGCAGGCAACCAATATTTAGCTCAGGGTCACAGCCCCTTCCCTTGGCTAATTTCTTCATGTGTTGTTCACCGGTGTGAACCTTCCACACATGAAAGATTAGGCACCTTTGTCCACTGATTTGCAAATTCTCAAACAAAACCACTTTTTTCTAAGTTCCTTATAAGCAACTGGCCACAGGCTGCCTTCTACGGGTTTATAAAATCTCTTACGGTCCAAGTAAGGAGTCCACTTATGTAAATTTCGTTATCTCATGGGAACTGTGCTGTTTCAGTAGTACACCTGGGATTATTCTGTACCTCTTTAAATGGAATCCAGCTGCTCCCAGGCTTTGCAGGGTTGGATGGGGTCTTCAATTTTTCCAGGGCATTTTCAATGGCATCACCATAGTTATCCTGAAACCATTTTTCATGAGGTGTTTCTGCAGTAGCCACTGTGATACTCCTTACGTGCTCCAAAGCAAATACAATGGGCTTCATCAAAGCTGTGTGCTTCTCCCGCATGATTGCAATTTTCTCTTCTCTGACCAAGAAGAAATTTTTATTCAAAAACTTACTGTATGTTAAAGTTTTACACAAACATGGAACAATTTAAATGTATCAATTCTTAAACAGCACCAAGAAATAAGTCTAAATAAAGCAATAACATGTTCACAAAGTAAATAACTAACAAAGAATTTTTTTTTTTTTTTTTTTTTAGACAGAGTCTTGGTCAGTTGCCAGACTGGAGTGCAGTGGTGTGATTTCGGCTCACTACAACTTCTGCCTCCCGGGTTCAGACAATTCCCCTGCCTCAGCCTCCTGAGAAGCTGGGACTACAGGGGCATACCACCAGGCCCAGCTAATTTTTTGTATTTTAGTAGAGATGGGGTTTCACTATGTTGGCCAGCATGGTCTTGATCTCCTGACTTTGTGATCCACCTGCCTCGGCCTCTGAAAGTGCTGGAATTACAGGCATGAGCCAGCAAGCCCAACCAAAAATTGTTTAAAAAAAAAAAAAATGCAGCTCATAAAAGAGGCAGCTCCTCTATTCAATGAATTAAATGACACAGGGAAAACAGGATATCCACATAATGAAGCAATAGCTCAAAATGGATCAAAGACCTAAACTTAAAAGTTAAAACTACAAAACACTTAGAAGAAAACATAAGGGAAAGGTTTCATGATACCAGATTTGGCAATGATTCCTTGGATATGGCACCAAAAGCACAGAGTAAATTGAGCTACATCAAAATCAAAACTTTTATAAATCAAAAAATACTACATACTATGAAGAGAATGAAAAGACAACCCACAAAATGGTAGCAAATATTTGCAAATCATGTATCTGATAAGGGTTAGTATCCAGAACACATAGAGAACTTCTACAATTCAACAATTTTAAAAAAAAACAAAAACCACAATTAAAAAATGGGCAAAGGATTTGTAATGACATTTCTCCAAAGATATGCCAATGACCAATAAAATACATGAAAGGATGCTCAACATCGCTAGTCATTAGGAAAATGCGAATCAAAACCACAAGGAGATACCACTTCACATCCACCATAACAGCTACTGTCAAAAAAAAAAAAAAAAAAAAAAAAAAAAAAAAAAGAAAGAAAGAAAAAAGAAGTATTTGCAAGATTAGGAAAAATTGGAACCCTCATGAATGGCTAGGAGGATTGTAAATCGGTGCAGCAACTGTGGAAAAGTTTGTCAGTTCCTCAGTTAGTTAGACGTAGAATTGCCATATCATCCAGCGAATTCACTGGATCATCCACAAAACATATACAAAATTCACATAAAATTATACAAATCTGGGACTTAAACAGATGCTTGTACACTAATGTTTACAGCAGCATCATTCAGAGCTAAAATGTAGAAGCAACTTAGCTGTCCAAAAACGGATGAAAAAAATGTGGTATAACCATACAATGTTATTCAGCCATGAAAAAAATGAAATTCTATCACATGCTACAACACAATGAACCTTGAGGCCATTATTCTAAGTATAAAAAGCCAGACACAAAAGGATGGTTACAGTATGATTCCACTTCTATGAGGTAGCTAAAATAGGCAAATTCATAGGGATGGCAAGTAGAATAGAGGTGACTAGGAACTTAGGTAAGGGAGAAATGAAGAGATAATCTTTAATGAGTACAGAGCTTCTTCTGTTTAAAATAATGAATAAGTTCTGGAAATGGACCATGGTGATGACTGTATAATATAGTGAATGTATTTAATGTCACTGAATTGTACACCTAAAAATGATTAAAATAGTAAATTTTATGTTATTTATACTTTGATACATTTAAAAAAAAAAAAGAGAGAGAGGCAGCTTCACCATCTCAGGACGAGTGTAGGGAAACATACTTGCGTAAGGTGTTGTTGTTCTGGACTCTCTTCACCTCATCTTCGAGCTGCTGAATTCGTCTCAGGACGTACATGTGTTGCTGCAGCAAAACTCCTAGCCAGAGCTCATCCCAGAGCACAGTGACCCTGCGCAGTTCAGCCACGAGCATCTGAACCTGCATACACAGCACACCCAAACAGCTCATCTATAAGTCTACGCAAAGCATAGTTCTTCAAACACTGGACTTCATAAGTTAAGTGTGTGCAATTTGTGTTCATTATACAATTAGAGAACACTGACTAATGATTGTCAAAAGCCATTTTGATTATTCTATAAAAAATTCTTCTACAACATGCGAGTTTCTTTGTACCTGTAACACCATGGTTGGGTTTGCAGAGGACAGCTTATCTACAATTTTGCTGTAGCAATCCTGCATCATGGCTTGGTCTTCATTTAATCCACTTTTAGGTTCATCCTTAATGCTATCCTGAGATGCAGGAGGACTTCCTCCCTCGCATTCGGAAACCAGCAATTCTTCTCCTTGAATATTGCCAAGTAAAGTTGGAATTGCAGAGGAAAATTTATTTCCTATAATGAAATAGGAGGACAAGGAATGCTTTGAATATTTCTTTCACGTGCATATGCTGAGTTAGGGAAAACACTGACATAGATCTATTTGACTCAAGAGCACTCATTGAACTGATGTGCCTTCCATACATTACACTGATTAAAGACTGTGGATATTCAGTCTTTTTATAAGTTCAGCTTTCATACTTATTAACATTATAAGCTAATGGAAGATATATGGGAGAAAGATAATAAGCGTCTAACAATATTCTTCAAGCTGGAGTTCAAAACTTGGCATAATTCTTTTTTTTTTTTTTTTTTTTTTTTTTTTTTTTTTTTTTTTTTTTTTTTTTTTTTTTTTTTTTTTGGAACGCTGTATATCCCTGTTGGAGTACAGTGGCACAATCTTGGCTCACTGCAACCTGTCTCCCGGGTTCAAGCAATCCTTGTGCTTCTGTTTCCTGAACAGCTGGGACTTCAGGTGTGCACTGCCTCACTCGGCTAATTGTTTGTATTTCTTAGTAGAAATGAGGTTTCACCATGTTGGCCACGCTAGTCTCAAACTCCTGACTTCAAGTGATCCACCCGCCTTAGCATCCCAAAGTGCTGGGATTATAGGTGTGAGCCACCTCACCTGGCCAAAACTTGGTATAATACTCTTCTAAGAGTTACAGCTCAGTGAACCTGGTAGAGTTACTCCATTTCTCCACATCTTGGTGGATAATTGTCAAGACTACAGATAATGTGCAAAGCACATGTCCTGGTGCCAGATCCACAGTAATTACTCCCTCAACAAATGCTAATCGTTACTATTAAAAAACCGACAAACTCTAACAACTCTGGAACATAAAGCTTAAAAAATTTGACCTAACAAACATTATTGGCACAGTAATTTATACTTAAAGTAGCAATATTTGAATATTCCGTACCTGAAGCCTGGGATTCACTACTAAGCGATATGGTACCCACTATTGCAGGATACAATATGAGATGTGGGGAATCTTGAGCCACGCGACAGAGAAGGTTACAAATGCTTTGGCGCACATACACTTCAGGGTGGTTTAAGCGTGAGAAAAGTTGTGGAATAATTCCTTCAGGATAAGGAGAGAAAGACAAAGTTATTTAAATCTAAGAAGAAACTATCAGCATTGTAGATTGAACACATAAAACCTGATGTGTGTGTCAGCATTAGTACAAATTTTAAGAGTTCAAATTTCTCCCTGTGATAATAAAGAACCATACACAATAATTCTTGATTTGCAAATCTGGTTAAGGTTGGTTTAGGTACAGCACTATAATCAAAGTCCAGGGCAACTCAAAAATGTTGTGGAGAAAAGTATCTTTTGTGAATGCCTACAAACAAGGCAGACACAGACAATTTTTATATAGAGAGGGTATATAAAACCTTTTGAAAAATTTTCACCACCCTCTCCAAAATTCATTTTCTTTTCTTTTCTTTTTTTTTTTTTTTTGAGACGGAGTTTCACTCATGTTACCCAGGCTGGAGTGCAATGGCGCGATCTCGGCTCACCGCAACCTCCGCCTCCTGGGTTCAGGCAATTCTCCTGCCTCAGCCTCCTGAGTAGCTGGGACTACAGGCACGCGCCACCATGCCCAGCTGATTTTTTGTATTTTTAGTAGAGACGGGGTTTCACCATGTTGACCAGGATGGTCTCCATCTCTTGACCTTGTGATCCACCCGCCTCGGCCTCCCAAAGTGCTGGGATTACAGGCTTGAGCCACCGCGCCCGGCCACATTTTCTATATAAAAAGCTCCTGTGTCTTTCAGCTTCCCATTTCTTGTAAAGATGGGAAGAAAAGTCCTAGTGATGTAACAAGCAGTGCACGGTGTCCTAGGAACTAATCTGGCTGTTCCTTCACAGGTTTAAATAATAAACATAAGAAAAACACTTTTTAAAATCTTATATATCCTACTGAGAAACAATTTTTCCTGAAACATTTTATGCAGGTCTCACCTCTCCAAGGCGCAGTGGGTGTCGTTTCCAAGCCGTGCTCCAGATACTGCCGAAGCTCGCCAGCGTGCTTCACGAGCAACCGCAGCAGGCGCAATGTGGCCATCACAATCACGTCATCAGTGCTCTGTTCTGCTCTGTGACTTAAATGCAGCCTAGGGTCATCCTCATCTAAAGGAATCTAAGAGTGAAAGGTGAGGGGAATAAATAAGAAAATATTCAGAACACTACTTTTGTTTAATAAGGTTCCAAATGAATTTTCTTAGAACACTGTGCTACATACTTGACCAGCGTTGAGTTTAAGGAAAGTAAAGTATGCACTGCAAGAGAGTTTGTAGAGGCTGAATATTCTGTCTACAACTTTCCTCCACACTTTAATAACTCCTTCAGTTGCACTTTCATCAAGTTCTGAAAGCCATGGGCAGCTTGATAGTAACTGACGCCAGATAACATCAACCATGTCATCTTCTTCATTATCTTCACTCTCAGTTATCTGAAGCGTTATATCTTCATCCTGAAGAGGAATTGTGCACAAAATGCTATTTTAAATACAAACTGAAAAGGGGAAAAGTATGTAATTCGACTATCATAAAAACATTCTTCTCATATATGATAAAATTATCGCACATTTAGTGTTATACACACTAAGTTAATGTGAGTATGCTTCTCTTTATGATGTATTTACTAATATGAAGACAACAAAGAATATAAGCTTTTAGCAAAGATTAGACTTTTCAGGGGTTTTTTTGTTCCTTAAATGCTTCCAAATTACAATACAGTATTCTGCCTGCAGAATTTTTTTTTTTTTTCCTTGAGACAAAATATCAGGGCTGGAGTGCAATGGCACGATCTCGGCTCCCTGCAACTCAGCCTCCTGGGTTCAAGCAATTCTTATGCCTCAGCCTCCTGGGTAGCTGGGATTATAGGTGCCCGCTATCATTCCCGGCTGACTTTTTGTTGGCCAGGCTGGTCTCAAATTCCTAAGTGATCCGCCCGCCTTAGCGCCCCCAAAGTGCTGGGATTACAAGTGTGAGCCACCATGCCCAGCCTATGCTTGCAAAAAATTAAGCACAACCTGCTCAAAGTTTGAGGCTGAATGTAGACAGAACAGTAAACCGCATTCTCTTTATAGTACTATGCATGTATCAGACACCAGCTTAGTCAGAGACTTAGATATGCTGCTGTTTACAGAAAGAACTGATCGATATAGCTTAGCCTGGCAAATACAATCCATGCCTGTGAGGACTGCAACCAAATGATATATTGCTTCGGCATTCTAGAATTGACAGAACTCCGAGGAGAGACAGTATTAACCCTGCAGACCTAGTCCATTGTTATCAACTATGGCTACACATTAGAATCACCCAGTAAGTTTAAATACATACAACACACACACACAAACACACACACCCTTCATTCAGAATATCTGGGAGTAAGTTTCATGCACTGGCATATTTTAAAAGCTCACAAACCAGCCAGGCACAGTAGCTCACACTTATAATCCCAGTACTTTGGGAGGCTGAGGCAGGAGGATCACCTGAGGTCAGCAGTTCGAGACCAGCCTGGCCAACACTGTGAAACCTTGTCTCTGCTACAAACACAAAAAAAATTAGCCAGGTGTGGTGGTGCATGCCTGTAATCCCAGCTACTTGGGAGGCTGAGGCAGGAGAATCGCTTGAACTTGTGAGGTAGAGGTGGCAATGAGCCGAGATTGCGCCATTGCACTCCAGCCTAGCAACAAGAGCAAAACTCTGTCTCTCAAAAACAAAAGAAAACAAAACAAAACAAAGAAAGCTTCACAACCGAGGGTGGGTTAAGAACTTAAAATTTCTGATAAGAGCAATTAAAAGAGAAATTTAATTTACATACAATGAAATTCTCTTTTTTTTTTCTTTTGAGAGTCTCACTCTAACACCCAGGCTGGAATGCAGTGGTGTGATCTCGGCTCACTGTAACCTTCAAGTGGTTCTCCTGCCTCAGCCTCCCTTGTAGCTGGGATTATAGGCATGCACCACCATGGCCTGTTGATATTTATACTTTTAGTAGAGATGGGGTTTTGCCTTGTTGACCAGGCTGATCTTGAACTTCTGACCCCAAGTGATCCACCCACCTCGGCCTGCCAAAGTGCTGGAATTACAGTGCCCAGCCAACTTCACCTATTTTTAACAGGAATCTAATGAAATGCCTTGATTTCTCAAAAGAAGTAAATTCTTCTTAGACAAATATAACTCATCTTAAAACGTAAAGTTTTAATTTACAACAATAACTGCTAAGCCCCATTCAATATTTAATCAAATATATATGTTTAATTTTTTAATATGGAGCAGCAATCTTGCCCCAAGCACCATGTTTTCCTTGCCTGAATCCCCGCCGGCCGACACACAGCCTGTCCAAGAATACCATATATTCTCTCTTTCTCCTCCTCAGTTATAGTGTCTGGAAGCAGATTTTGAACTTCAGATTTTTCTCTAGGCAGCAGGCGAACACCTTCTCCCTGACTATAAAGATAAACAAGTCACCAATATTTTAGCTACCAAAACTTCACCATATCAGGAGACATTTAATTATTTATTTTTCCAATGCAAAAATAAACTACACATTTAAACATACCTGGCATTGTCAACCACCTTTCTGCCCCACCTATAAGCCCAGCTGGCCAATGCTGCCCAAGATTTGGCTACTTCAGGTGCCTGTACTGAAGACAGGTGATACAACTGTCCCAAAATGAAGTCAGGTTCTCCAACTCCAATATGCACTGCCATAATGGACAAAAAATAATAAAAGAACTCAACGATGTTACATTCACAAATTCCTAATGACATTCCCATTAGCATTTTAGGTTTTCATCTGCAAGCAATAAAAAGCTCCATAATATTACTGTACATAACTTGAATAAATAAAGTACAAATATGAATTATGCTCTCTTAAAGACTGGTATGTTGAAATGAATTCATTATATGTTTCCCAAGTAAGCTTAGATTATCTCCTGTGGAAGACATCAATGGCTTTCATGACACTGAACATTGTCAACAGTCATTGTGAGCTGTACTGTAGAAAGTCTTGCATTATGAATCTGACTGGCTATTTCCTCATGATCAGATTGACTTTAATTATTCGGCAAAAATAACAGGTGATAAGTGCACCATTTCATTCATACAGACTCATGAGGCAAACATCTTCATTCCCTTGTCAGAGGTGAAGAAACTGTCAAATATAGTGCACTTGCAATGGTCACAAGACATATCCTTTATGAATATCAAGACCCTATCTATCGAAATTATTAACACCAATCTAAGTAATTAAACTCTTAGTCTTCAGAACAACAAAATTAAGATATATTCTCATGTTTCAGCAAATAAAATCGTCTCCCAAATTCTCTTTCAAATTTTAAAAACAGGAGAATGGTGCCTTCCACAACAGGCACTCAAACATTGAAAGAATCAACTACCCTATCTGTAAGATATCTTTCTGTTACTAGCTTATGTCAGAATGGGAAACATGAATCTTTCTATAGGTTCTGTGTTCCACCAAACAACAGGAACACAGGTAACTATTTTAAATCTTTGTTGCTCCTTCTATGGTGAGGTGAAATTTTAGATGTGAGGGGTAGGATCTTATTGCCAGCAAAAAACATCTAAGTCCATAAAAGCAAATTGCCCTGGAAGCAGAGTTCAGTGACTTCCAAAATGGCATTCGATCCTTAATATGTCTTAGTTATTTCCTGACAATGAAATAAACTCAAATTCCACAGATACACTTTTTCTGGAAAATTATAGCCAGCATAACATTATAGACTTTAAAATAGAAAAAATATAACTTCTAAAATATTTTAAAGCTAATAAAGAAACTCTACCTGTAGATTCGCTCTCAATCCGAGGATACTCTTCTTCCACTGCATTAACAGATGGCAGTTCTATTAAAGTGAGTAGGTTTTTAGACAAAGTAGAGAGACCTGTGAAGTTCTGTTGATGCTGAGCTCTGTAAACCTGTTTCAGCTGTCCTGAAATTTCTTTCCATTCTGCCTGGATCCATTTAGCCAGTGTCAGAATTGACTTAGCAACTGCATATTCAGCTTTTGCAGACTTACAGAAAGATATGGCACAAGAACTCAACATTTCCATTGCATGTGTTGACTGACCTACAGAAAACCATAAAGTCAGAACTTTGAATCTTTAAAAGCAAATGATGGAGGGAGGCTCTTGGGTTAGGAAACAAAAAAGCAAATGACTGGGCTGGGTGCGGTGGCTCATGCCTGTAATCCCAGCACTTTGGGAGGCTGAGGTGGGTGGATCATGAGGTCAGGAGTTCAAGACCAGCCTGGCCATCATGGTGAAACCCCATCTTTAATTTTTAAAAAAAAAAAAAAAAGGCAAATGACTAACATTATTTCAGTGCAAAATAATCAACTTTAAAAAAAAATAAAATAGATACAGGACCTCACCATGTTGCTCCAGGATGGTTTCAAACTCCTGGGCTCAAGCAATCCTACTGTCTTAGCCACCCAAAGTGCTGAGATTAAGGGCATGAGCCACCATGCCCAGCCAAAACGCTACACTTTTTTTTTTTTTTTTTTTTTTGGAGACAGGGTTTCACTCTGTTTACCCGGGCTGGAGTACACAGTAGCACAATCAGGGTTCACTGCAACTTCAACTTCCAGGCTCAAGCAATTCTCCTACCTCTGCCTCTCAAGTAGCTGGACTACAGGCATGTGCCACCAAACCCCGCTAAGTTCTTCGAATTTAAGTATAGCTGAGGTTTAGCTCTGTTGCCCAGGCTGGTGTCAAACCCCTAGGCTCAAGCAATCCTCCCACCTTGGCCTCTTAAAAGTGCTGGGATTATAGGCATGAGCATCTGGCCCAAAATAGTAAAGTTAAAAAAACAGGTAAATTCAGTGATCAGTGACCTCTGGAAACATTTCTTACTTTAATACATTGCAACAAAATTCTTTTAAAAGCACTGAGTTATAAAGATAAGTCAGTATCAAGTAATTTATTATTCAGGATGCAAATATTCTGCAACAGCTGGAAAAGATCATCTTTCCTATTACTACCTTATACATACATACACAGTAACATTAATATACACATTTTTATTTTACTTGTGTATTAACCATAATTCATTTTACTAACCTGCTGTATATAGCAATTTGGTTTTTTCAATGTCAAGTTCAGGCCCCCATTTTTCATCCACCTGACCTTGAGTTGATAGTTTTTTAAAATGTTGGACTAAATCCTGTGCAGTGGTAGTCTTTCCCAGCTGAACTTCACTGCACTGTGCCAGCAGTCTTGTTGCAAGGGACACATTCCCTCGTTTTCTAGCAAATTTTGCTGCTGTTAGACCTAATTCCATGAGATGGCTTCTAATTGGGACTGTTTGTTCTGAAGAGAAGAAAATGTTTTATTAGTCCCTGATTTGTCTACCCAGATTGCATGGAAACATGGCCAAAAAATTATTCCCCAACTATATCTCTTCCATACCACTTCCTGAAACAAAGATAACTCATCCTCAAATCCCTAGCTGCTAGCATAGTGCTTGAGATACAATGAACAAGGTTTGCTAAATTAAATGTATACAATGAAGTAGAGCAAAGTAAAATCATTCACTTTAAGAAATTTTTTAGTTTCTGAATCTTTGGCAAAAAGCCTGGGCCAAAGGGTAGGGAAAATAGGGAAGGCTAAACCATCCCCCCCAACTTCTTCTCTAAGTACCCTCTGCCCTTCAATTATTCTCTTGGTTTTCTTCCTACCTTGCTGAAGAATCCTTCTCAGTCTCTTTCTCTTCCATCACTCATCCATTAAACACCGGTGCTCCTTGGACTCAGTCCTAGGCTCTCTACTCTTCCCACTGCATACTCTCCCTGGACATCATCATCTTTTCCTGTGACTTCAATTACCACAGAAATGCTGACAACCATTGAATCTTTACCCAGACCTGCCAAGTGGTCACCTACACTCTATTTATTTCAAGAGTGCTTCCAATAATGTCAGTCATGTCAAATGGAGTTCATTTTCCACCACCCTCCAAACCTCTTACTATCTTCTTCCCTTTTCCCCTTCTCAAGGAAGGGCACAGGATCAGCCTGGCTGCCTATGCAAGTACTTGGCAACCATCATAGACTTTATCTTCAACCCTCTTAACCCATTTGCTTTCTTCTTTCCCTACTGCCACCCTAGTTACCCTTTTTAGCAGAGGCTTCAGCCTAACTTAGTACCTTTATCCCCATTCTTATACTCTTCTAATCCACTCTCCAACTTGCAACTGAAATGATATCACACAAAGGGTAAATCTAAACCTTTAACTTCCCTGCTTAAAAGTCTCTGATGACTTCTCACTGCCATTCTGACAAATCCTCAACTCCTGAATTCGGCCGTCACTGATGCTTTCGAGCATTCCATTCCAATCTCAGTCTCATCCAGCTCCATCTCTTCCTACTCTCTTAGGTGAACTGAGTCATCTAAGAATCATCATTTGCTCTGGCCTGCACACATTTTTTCTAACCAAATCAGCCTGCCTTCTTTCTCATCTCTATCTTCCTTAAGTTTCAGCTTAAATGTTACTTCCCCAAGTCTTCTTCTGATTCTTAAGATTAAATCAGATGCCCTCATTATTTGCTATTCCTTGTTGTGATTTTTTTTTCGTTTGTTTTTAGAGACAGGGTGTCATTCTGTCACCCAGGCTGGAGTGCAGTGGCATGATCAGAGCTCACTGCAGGCTTCATTTCCCAGGCTCAAGCAATACTCCCACCTCAGGCTCCTAAGCATTTGGGACTACAGACACATGCCACCACACTCAGGTGATTTTTACAATTACTCTAGTAGAGACAGGGTCTCACTATGTTGGGTCACCATGTTTGAGGTCAGTTTTCCCTGCCAGAATCTACAATCTCCTTGATCGCCATTATATTCCAATGTGGAGCATAGTACCTGGTAAAAAGCACATTTGACCAGTACTTGCTGAATACAGAAATGAAAAAACAAAGAGGAATGGAGTTCTGTCTCTGAATATAACTGCTGGTTACTGACCTTTCTTCTCGATTTAAAAACTTATGTGATATAAAAAGAACTAGCTAAGTATGGTGGCTCACGTCTGTAATCCCTATTACTAGAGAGGCTGAGGCATGAGAATCTCTTGAACCCGGGAGGCAGAGGCTGCAGTGAGCCAAGATCGTGCCACTGCATTCCAGCGTGGGCAACAGACTGAGACTCTGTCCCAAAACAAACAAACAAAGGAGACTGGAAAAAAGATGAGGGTACTTGTGAAGCCATATTATACAACACACTCTGTCCCAGGACTTCTATATACCTTGTCTCATCTCATAATCCCATATAAATCCCTACAAGTATCTCACAAGAGGGGTAATCCCCATAAAACTGAAAAAGAAAGCAGTCCGGAAATTCAATGATTGGCCCTAAGATTCCTCAACTGGCAAACATCGGGCCAATGATCCAACCCTGGGTATGTTTGGCAGTGAGAAACCAATTGAGTCACAGCTGCAAGTAACTACCCTGCAGTAGAAGTCCCTATCTTAGCTGCTAGCTTATGTGACATTTAACACTCAAATTTACTCAGCAACACCAGCTATCACATTTTCAACTAAAGCTCCACAGCATTCTGACAACTTTTCGTTTTACAGCAATAAACGGTTAGCATCTTTTTGACATATACATATTTATACAAATAGTAATTCTCTAGCTATTCATTTGGAGTATATAAAACTCAACATTCATAGTATATTTTATGTGACAAAGAACTTATGTTCAGAACACAAAAACAAGTCGTATGTCTTCATTAAAAATAGGTCAAGAATTTGAACAAACATTTGAAAACTAAAATATATAATACTTGCTATGCAAATGAAAATATACTCATCATTATTAATCATCAGGAAAATGTAAATAAAACTATGAGATACCACTACATACTCACTCCAGTGATCAAATTTCTTTGAAAGCTAAGCCATGTAACCCAACAATTTTACTCGCAGGCATTCACTCAAGAGAAAGATAAATAAACGTCCACTCAAAGACTTGCACTTGATGTTGAGAGCAACTTTATACTTACCAGCCCAATTAAAGAAAAAAAAAAAAAACCCCAAAATCTATCAAAGGATGAAGGGAGAAATAAACTGTTGTATATGCATACAATAGAACACTACTCAGTAATAAAAAGAACTGTATTCCTGAAACATGCAACACAGGTGAACCTTAAAAATATCATGCTAAGCAAGAGAAGCCAAGCACAAGAGAATACGTTGCTAGGATTTCATGTACATCAAACTTTAGTAAAAACAAGTCTAATCTACAGTGACAGAAGGGTTAAATGAGGAACCTTTGGGATAAGATGGTGTTCTGTATCTTGATTGTATCAGTGGTCATACAAGTAAAGACATGTTAGAACACAGCAAATCATACACTTAGAATGTGTGATATATACCTTGATAAAGCAAAATTTTAAAAAAATCTTTCATTGTCTCTTAAGAAAAAAAAAAAAACCACTCACCTTTAATTTTCTCCAACAACTGATTCTGGTACATAGTATACCTTAATGCCTGCATCCATGGCCTCACATCATGCTGTTTACATGAACGTAAAGCTTCACTGAAGAGCGGAATAAGACAGTCCTGACAGGAAAAAACCAAGATTACTTAACGTAAAACAGGCTCTTGATTTATTTGCAGATACACAGCAAGTCTTAAGTCTAAGACTGCAACATAGTTTGGCTACTTCAAATTGATTACAGTTTTATCTATTATACTATACCCTTACATCACTTATCTTCTACTCGCAAGTGGCAAGCACACAGTAAGAGAATACCTTTTGCTTTGTAGAGAAATTTTCTTCAGAATAGTAAGTCTAATTTATCAATATACTTAATAAAGCACACTACAAAAAAAAAAAAATCACAGCACATTTACTATAAAGCAGACTGCTAAAGTGCAGAAAAACATTACAACTAAAGCTTTATAATGAAGTTCTCAAAGATCATCTTTCCTTTGGAGGCTCCAACTCTGAATTTTACCCTATTTGGAACGAGGAGGAAAGATCTTTGTTTGCAGCAAATCTAAAATTTACATAATCTGCCTAAAGGAACTGTCTTTCACACACCACCTTCCACCCCCAAAATAAGAGAAAAATTAAGCAATTTGCCATTCTTGAGATTATCTCAGGTCCTTCCATCTGCCCCACGTACTTCTCAAATGAAAGTCTGTCTGAAAACAACATGTTAGATTCCTGGATTTACTAGCTTGTCCAACTAAAAATCCTATTTTGAAAAACTCAAAAAATAAGGTCTTTGTTCTACAATAGTGGCCATTAACAGTCATAAGAATATGCTTGTAAAAATATACAGACCTCTGTTGAAAGCTTGTTAGAAACTGTGTTCTCCAAAGCAGATGAGCAATACAGCTGCAAGGTACTTAGAACTGGCAAAGACTGTGAAACTGTTAAAGTAGAAAGTCTCAGAGGTCCAATAGCGATGCGGGATGTTTGCTTCAAGTACTTTACCACATTTCTGAAACAAAATGTTTGCTGTCAATTAATTAATGAAAATTGTCAACTCACAACCATTGAAGGAATAAAGCAATTGATAAGATGCTATCAAACTGGTGCATCCACAGTTAGGGGGAAGAGGAGCAGCCTACTCTATAATAAAATGCTAGCGGCAAGTCAAGACATGCTTTCGAGAATTTTTTACATTTTATTTCATTTAAACCTCAGTATATGTTGGCAGGGAGCATTCATATGTCATATGACTTCTACAACTAAAATGAAGCTATTAGCACTAGTATTTAGTAATCTAGTAACTCTCTTTCCAGCCCTCCTCACCCCATGTATGTTTATCATATGATATATACAATGTACATTTACCTCATCAAGATTAAACTTACTCTGTTATAGACTGCCACTTCTGATCTTGTTCTATAGGGTTTAAAGCAGTTGCCAAACAAACAGAACTTCTCAACAATTGAACTTCAATGGATTTCTGAAGTTCCCTTGGATCTGGACTTAACATATTAGGAAGCAGTTTTTTCATATCTACAGAAGTTAAGTAAGATGTCATTAAGTTAACATGCTTTTATTATACAATTTTGATTTATATCTGGCAGTAGTAAAAAAATAATCACCGATGATTATCTCCTTTAATATTTAAGTTAAGACAGCTAAACACTATAAGCATTACTGAGAGCTACATAAAAATCATTACTTCATACAAAATTACTGTATCTCAGACCCCTAAAAAGCAGTTGCCTTCAAAGGCTCAAAAATCAGTAAGTCAATCTACTATTTAAGGGAGCAAATCTAGACCTACATTAGCAAATCTTGCTCAACCCAGAATATTCATTCAACTTTTAAATAACATTCTATAAAGTGTTCCATTTGTGATAAAGAACTTAAGCCATATCAAGATCAAAATCAAGAAAAATATTTAGCTGAAGCACTACTTTGTCCTTTGTCAAATAAAATGGCCAGTTAAATCTCAAAGTATTAATGTAGCCATTTTTTTATTTGATTAATTTTAACTGCTTTTCATTTGCCAAATCAAACATAAATAGGGCAGCCCTAAATGTATTGCTCCACATGGGATTCTGCCCCCAAAAATGTAAAATAACTTCCAGATTTTCCAGGAAAATATACTAAGCCAAACATTTTAAGCAACTTGTCCATTAAAATATAATTTTAAAATTATTTTCTCAAATACCTATTTTTTCTTTTGATCCTCCAGCAAGTAGATTGATATTTTCTCCTGGTAACAATTCTAACTGCTCGGTACATTCAACAAATTCTCCAGACTCAAAACTGCTTAATGATCTGTAATTAAAATATCGGTTAGCTTGTATTCCTAATGCAGCCTGTGGAACCATTTAAAAAATAGTAATAATGAAAATTCTAGAAAGAAAGTATACAGCATTTTTCTGACAAAATTCCTTCCACAAGGATACCACCATTTTAGTTTTGGTTTTTTTGTTGAAGGTGTGACTACCATCCTAATTAGCACTCAAACTGGGGTAGCGAACCAGAAAGTCACAGCTACAGACATTCAGTGTCTCCTTCCTGTTTTCATGTGTTGCAGGCTGTTCTCTTCAGAGCCTAACACAGTAACAGTAGGCCTCTGCAGGGCAACTTTGACTCCCAGTTCTCTCCAAGCTGCCAGTGAGCTCCCTGCACGGTCTCACTCCTCACCTACAGCAAGAGCCCTTGCAGCTCTCCTAGCATCACAATCTTGTATCTCACTCCTGGCTTCTTTCACCACTGGCATCTCTCCCTCTCTCCCTTTCTACTTCTTTTTTCAAAAAATTCTTCTCTTTCATCTTCTTAAAGATAAAAAATAATGACACCTCTGAAATTCTTTCCTGCAGTCCTGCAACAACAATGCCAGGAAGACAGGCCCCATCTTCCCAGCTCTAGGCTGCCCCTTTCAGATCCCTCACCTGCCCCCATTTCCATGTCATGGGCTCACCAGCCAGGAAGAAAACACTGTTTCTCACTCTCTCTTTTCCATTGTTTCTCACTCTCTCTTTTCCATCTTTGCCGGTCGTTCTCACTGTGTCACTTCCTTACAACTCAGCCTGAAGCCCGTGCTGGAAAGGCACATCATCTGAATTATCCTGTGCCTGGTTCTACCTAGATCAGTGCAACCACTGGCTTTTCACTGGCTTCTCAGGGGTAGCCTTGGGTACTGGGCACTGATGAACTGCTGCCAACATATTCATCATTTCTGCCATTAAAAGCCCCTGAGTCTTCTCCAGTGGCAGGTTCTCCAAGTCCCCGCTATACTCTACCATGTCCTATGCTTTCAGCTAACATCTGAGTCCTCAGGGGGAAAAAAAAAAAAAAGCACAGGCTTTAATTTCCTCCACCCTTACCTCCAATCCACCATACACTGCCCGCCCAAAATCTGTCTATAGCATCTGTGACTGCTTTCCTTGAGGCACAGAAAAGGTAAGGTCCAGTTAATCTCCTGTTTCTTCAACCTATGCTTTCTAGTGGCTCCTTCTCCTTGGCCAAAAGAACATAATCTCTCCAATATCTAAAATAAACATCTATTTCCCTCCAGCAACAGCTTCCTATCCTTGACTTCAAGAAAAACTCGCTAGCTGGGTGTGGTGGCTCACGCCTATAATCCCAGCACTTTGGGAGGCTGAGGTGGGCGGATCACCTGAGGTCAGGAGACCAGCCTGACCAATATGGTGAAACCCCATTTTAAAAAAAAAAAAAAAGAAAAAAGAAAAAACTCGCTGACCAAATAACTTACCACAAGCTTTTCATTTTCAAATTTCTCTACCACTCATTATTCAATCTAACTTCTTCTGTCTCTCTATAAAACTCTTTTTCCTTATAATCCCTAGAGCATCTGACAAGGCTGACTAATCCCATCTGGATGTCCTACATCTAGGACACTTCCCTCCTCAATGTCCCTGTGTTTTTTTTTTTTTTTTTCCAATGGCTTTCCCTCCTATTCTTTCACAAAAATGCTAAACTAGGATTCTGACCCAAGGCTTCCTTCCTGTTCACTCACTATTCTCCAGAGGCTTATCTCTGGTTTGGTGGCTTACAAGGCTCTAGAGTATAGAGACTGAAAAGGAAAGAGGGCCTTTTCTGTGTGCTAATCATCTGGAAGTCTCTCAAGCTTAGACTTTATCCTTAGTTCCAAATCAGATTCTTAACAGCTTACCCAACAATCTCATCTGCACATTTCACTAGAAATCTTAAACATACCTTGTTGTTCTCTGCATGCTCCTACTCCAATTAATAGCATTGTTTCTTCTCCCTTTATTTACCATTGCCCCCACAAATCAATGGTCTCCATGCGTCCACATTCGCCCCCACCTGTTTCTTCACCATACCTCCAATTCCACTCTCTTTGCCATAGCAGAATGAACCACCAAGTCAGATCACAACACATCTCTGCTCAAATCCCACCTAAATTTTCGATCTTACTAGACTAACAGCCAAAGTTCTTTTCTCAGTTCCTAGCTACTTCTCTGCCTTTATATCCTACTGTTCAAGGTGCTCCTAACCACACAGACCTCCCAGCTATTTCCAGAATACTCCAAGCCCATCATTCTCACATCAGGTATGGGCCCAAAGGGCATCCTGATGGACATGACTTGACCTTGTGTCTTCCCTACCAAGAAAGTCAACTTCACCTAACTGCTTCCTTATGGCATAAAAAACGTAACTGAGATCCAACTAATCCTTTTATCAATGTTCTTTGTCTAATCTTTGCTTTAAAAGGTTGGAATTTGTGTCTGTTTTATGTGCTGCCTGGAATTAGTACTCGCTTAATGAAGCAATTACACATTAACCCATTTAGCAGAAGGCAAGGGTATCAGACAAAGTCTAATGACCTTTATCTTCCCAGCCAAGTGTCTGCAATAGAATGCTCAAATTTGAATTACAGAATTAACAAAAGCACAGAGGAATGAGAATAAAGTTTAATTTACAGATGTTCACAAACTCCTCATTAGAATAAATGTTTTTTATATATTCAGACCTAATTTAGAAACAAAGCCACCAAATGTGATTCCTTTTAAAGCAGTACAAATTTTTCTTTATATTCATTCTGACATAACCTTCAAATTGTAGTAAGGTTTTAGAATGACAGGTTCTGAGAATTAATACCAAATGGCCACCTCAGCAGTCTGTTTCCCATTATGCAAACACCTGCCTCATCTCTGATGTCAGTTTCCTGTTGTTATTTTCATAATGGCAGTCAATTAGAAATATAACCATGTTGTATTACTACATATGACCAACTTTATATTTTTTGCCATAAAGACATCATAGCTACTGGAAATTTTGTTTTATAATTGGAAAAACAAAGCCTTACTTTATATAGTTGAAGTCAGCTTTCAGGTTGAGGGAAGTGCTACTGGTACTCTTTTTCAAGTCATGGATAGCATTCTGCCATTCCTGCACAGCAGCCCAATCAGCAATTGAGATGTAGCACTCACATGCTTTATTTCCTAAATAATTTATAATCTCAGGGGAAGATTCGGTCGGTTTGGACAGCACAGTTTTCCTGGATTCACCTGAAAATATTTTATAAAATAAAAAGAGATTCAGATCAATTAGAAATATTTCAAAGAGCATAGAAACCTAAAACCATAAAATAAGATCATCAGTGCAAAATATCTTACTACAACTTTTGCTTTATTTAAAAATACTGAATGCTTACCGTTCAGAGAATGTTTCGGGCTGGCACTGTTACGCCCAGCATTAGCTAAGGTGAGCACAGATTTGTCAAAGCTGGAGATGCAGCAATCAACACCTGTCATGGCACACAGGTGTTCCTGGTACTCCACAGAGGCCTTTTCAAACCTGAAAAGCAAATTGAAGCAGTCTTATTTACTTATTTACTTATTTTTTGAGACAAAGTCTCGTTGTCACCCAGGCTGGAGGGCAGTGGCATGATGACCACTCACTACAACCCTGCCCTCCCAGGTTCAAGCAATCCTCCAACCTCAGCCTCCTAAGTAGCTGGGACTACAGGCACCCACCACCACACCTGGCTAAAACAAGGTTTAGCTATGTTGGCCAGGATGGTCTCAAACTCCTGGGCTCAAGCAATTCGCCCGCCTTGGTCTCCCCAAGTACTGGGATTTCAGGTGTGAGCCACCCAGCACGGCCTCAAAGTAGTCTTTTTTTGAAACACACATATCTCATTTCTCCCCACAACCTCCACAAAAATGGTGCAAGAATAAACTGAGTTAAAACAGTAAGTTGACTATGGCGAAGGGAGGTTTGATGTCTTCCTCACAACTATGAGACTAAATTTAAAGGTGGTTAAATGTTTTTTTTAAAAAGTAGACTGTATAAAAGAACTAGTGAAAAATACTGATAAGTAACTGATGTCAATGTGTGGAAAGGCTTTGCAGAAGGATAAATGCAAGAAAAGATGCACAAGTAAGAGATCTATATGCATAATGTTTAAACACAACATTAACATTAAAAACAAATTATAAATCAAGAAATTAGATAGCATCAACAATCTTAGTATAAAATAAAATGTCATAGATTAACACAGGAAAAATTGCAAGGCCATGAAGACATGATCCACGTTTAAAAAAAAATTGACAAATGGTCAATATATGGGGCAAGTTCTACTATTAGTCATTAATAAATATAGAAATGTAATTTATAAAAACTATTTTCACTGATGGTGGTAACAGCATTCTTGTTTCTCAGTAACTGTCAGTATCCACTAAGGTGAAAGGAAGGGGGTATTAAGGGTATTAACTGCAGCCATCTTTTCTGCAGAGTAACTTAGCAATAGAATATATCTAAGACTTATGGTTAGGCAGCCTTTCTTATAGTAAATCAGTTTGTAAGAATGGATTCCAAGAAAGTAATCTGAAATATAAGCAAAGATTTCAAGTGCTACGGTGCATTAACTTAGTAAAAAAATATCAGAAAGAACTTTAATGTCCAACAGTAAGAAATACGAAATTATGTTACACTCAACAAATACAAATCTTCATTAAAAATAACATTGTAGAATACTTAACATGGCAAATTTTTAAAAAAAATATTGAGTGGGAAAACCAGATCATAAAACCATGCACCTATGTACGCTGCTGTTTTGATGAAGAGTGGAGAAAACTACATGAAAGAAAAAAGCTGGGCATGGTAGCTCACGAGGTCAGGAGTACCAGACTAGCCTGGCCAAGATGGGGAAACCCCATCTCCACAAAAAATACAAAAATTAGCCAGGTGTCGCGGCAGGCACCTGTAATCCCAGGAGAATCGCTTGAACCTGGGGGGTGGAGGTTGCAGTGAGCAGAGATCAAGCCATTGCGACAGAGCGAGACTCTTGTCTCAAAAAGAAAAAAGAACTACAAATACCTTTGGATATGAAATTGTGGAACTACAAAAGCACACATACCAGAAGTCACCACAAAGATATGAAAGTATGAGCAGTTATTTTTATTTTCCTAAATTTGCAAGATTTCATTAAACTAACATAAATAGACACAGAATATTATGGTACAAGCTCCTTCACCTGGAACAAGTAGATGAGTCTGAATGTAGGGTTCACAGGACTAATGAGCAAATACTCTGACAATAAAGCGTAATTTGTATCAGACCCTGAGGGGGAAGGGGCTCAAGTAGGGATCAAGTTCAAAAGCATTTATAAAACAAGTGACAGGTCTTTTTTTACAGTGTAATTTCCCACTAATTCTTAAGAAAGGCACCAAGAATTGTTGCTAAAGAACAAATTAAAGATGCCTCCTGGTGAAGTGATTTATAGCAAGCTTCAATTGGTGAATTCGAACAAAGCTGTTGCAACATTTGAAATCAAACAAAGCTGTTGTAACATTTAACTACAATGTCAGTGAATAAAACAAAGAATTTAAACATTAGGTAATACTACACCCTTTTCCTTTCTTCCAACCTACCTCCCTTCAGCCTGTTGAGCTACTGAGTTAATCCACAGAAGATTTTTTCCAACAATAGATGATGACCAGACAGCAATTCCCTGTATAGCTTCAGGACAATGAAGTTCACACAGTGCTTCTACCACCATCATAATGGTTACTTCCAATTCATTCCCCTGAAAATGGCATTCAGAAAAATTAGTCACAGACCCCAATGCCATTAAAACATAAATTCCTACTAAATTTACAACTGTGCAGTCTATGCCTACTGAAAGCCAAATGTATTTAACAGTTATTTTTCACAACTTTAACATTAACTCAGAATTCTTTAAAATGTTACATATGAATAGCCACAAAGGATGACTAACAGAACCTTAGCAACATGTGGATGTTGTTTGTACCCCCACCCCAAAGTTACCCAAACATTTAACCTGTGGCCTCTGTAGAAATAACACATGGAGTAAAAAGAAAGCAAAAATTAAATATAAACAAACATGAATTAAAGAATGTTTAAGTTCATGTATTTGAATATTGCTTAACATTACCTGAATTGCTAAACATTTGTTGATTTTGGATTCCAGCTATTTACTGTGAGCCCACTTTTGAGCCAGAAATTAATCAAGCATTTGCCATACATTATAAAAACAATTCCTCCTGGCCAATGCGGTGGCTCATGCCACTAATCCCAGCATTCTGGGAGGCAGAAGTGGGCGATCACTTGAGGTCAGCAGTTCAAGACCAGCCTGGCCAACATGGTGAAACCCTGTGTCTGCTAAAAATACAAAAATTAGCTGGGTATGGTGGTGGGTGCCTGTAATCCCAGGAACTGAGGCAAGAGAATCACTTGAACCTGGGAGGCAGACGTTGCAGTGAGCTGAGATCACATAACTGGACTCCAGCCTGGGCGATAAGAGTAAAATTGT